TTTCCTGTGAAAACGGAAACTCAATTACTACGATCACTCCAGAAAATAATATGAACTTAGTGATGATGATGAGTGACAAACTTATATGTTCTTATTCTTACAGTGACTGTTTTCTTTTCCATAGCCCTGCACAATGTATATGCGTTGGATAATCCTCACGCACACGTACCTATGCCGGTAACAAGCGTAATATTTGAATGTATCGGGGCGTACGTCTCTGCAGATGAGTAGGCTGCTGTTTTATCATATTAGTACACACATGACATTCTGTGGAACCACATTGTTCTTGCGAGTTACAATGATCGACACAAGTCGTCGGTGCGTCTCCCCTGTTTCGATGCAAGCCCATGACACACGCTCGTAGACACGCTTGCGGTGGGACCATGAATAAATCATGTGCAGATCACTGCCAGGGTCATAGTAACACAGGCTGGTGTTGTCTGCATCATGTTTCCCTGGCGCGGCCTGTGCTTTGTAACACGTTCTAAAAGAGCAAGGAGGGTAGAATGTGCCAGCCACCAATCGACCGGCAAATTGCTCTAATTGCAACATGTCTGGCACACGTGATCGGGTTCTTATTTCGGCTTGATGTTCTCATTTATTTTCACTAAGTGAGCATTAATGTATGTGTGCATGTGTACATGCGCTTGCAATGTAGGGAGCGCTGACAGAGCGGTTATCGTACTGCGCAATGAACCCAGTCACCTGAGTTTGATTTCTGGCTGCTGATAACATTAGTGGTGAGTAATGCCTAAACTGGTCCTGACCCTCTCATAGGTCAACTGAACCTTAAATGTGTGAGCATTAGCACTGGAAAGACAAAGACAACCGCCCCCTCATGTGCTGTGTCGGTCTAAATATGTTCTCGCTAACAGCACTTGCCCTAACAGTATATGTAAACCATATGGGAGGATGTTTGTCTTTGTATGCTGGTGGAGCACATCGATTCGTGAGACTCCGTAACCTGTCAGACGGTGAAGTGACGAGGACATGGCAGCTTCCTGAACACATCAGTCTGAACTCTGAAGCGTTATCTTCTTTTTGTGGTTTTTCTCCGGAAGTTGCGGTTACCATCACACGAACTCCGGTCATCCTCGCAGCCGCTTTTGGCTAGCTGTCAAACATTGATGGTCATTGCATCGCACGCTTTCAGATGCGCTTCTGCGACCGTTTGTAACACTCTTCCAATATTAGGAAACCAGGGGAGCAATTTTTAAGTCTCGATTGAAAACACATTTATTTAGAACAGCTTATTGTGTTTAGTTTGTTATCCTTCCCCTTGACACCTCCGATTAGCACGGTTGGACACGTATGGTGCGAAAGAAGTTTATACCCACATGAAGGAATTCGCCAAACATCATGATGCAGGCAGGACTCTCCTTAAAAGTCTTGAGGCTCAGTTCGGGTTCCTTCCATACAGGCATTGTTTCTTTTACATTTGCAAATACTATACATAGAGCAAAACATATACACAACAAACTAACAAAAGTATTTAATGTGCATAATTATATGAATTCACAGGCAATTTGGTATTCTACTTCAGGATGAAGGCTTACCCATGCTCTCTTAGTCATGGGGGTTGTTTGACCATACTTCACCATGCTGGTCAGTGCAGGTTGGTGAAGGGGGTGAAGCTTAAGACCGTTTCAGATATCACTCGCCATTGATGTAAATCTGGAATCGAAATTTGGTTCAGTGTGGTGAGATGTTATCTACCTCTCCTGATATACAGGAGGTCGTGGGTTCAATCCCGACCCTGACACCTGCTGCTGTCTCTTTAGAGTTTGCGTGTCTCTCCCTCCACAGTTAGAAACATGCGTTTCGAGTATTTATCTGCGATACATTGCCACATAAGCCACTTCGTTGAGCAATCATTTGTGGCCAGGTCGCTTCTGAAAAAGAGCTATATAGCTCAATGGGCCATCCCTGGTAAAGTTTATCGTTTAAATTTCAGTGTGCTAAACACTGGACCACCTCGAAATGCGTATAAGGCAGTCACGAAAGCTTTAATTCGAAAAGGCCAGACTAAATTTGAATCCTTGCCGTTTTGCATGAACCGAGTTCATTGATGTTTTAATTTTACAATACTGCTGTATGTTTAAAATTAAGTGATAAGTAAACTACTTTTCTTTTACGAGAACAATTCACATGGAAACCAACTTTAACATTCAACCGGTAGTTACTCATCATCTTGCCATCGCCATCATTCATCCCTTGGGGTACGCGGTGTACAAAACGGTGCATTAATTGAAGGTGGGTGGGGTGTGGACGCGAACAAAATGCTACAATGAGTATAATTAAATGATTGGCGTCACACCCTATACTCAGTTTTCACAGAGGTTGAGAGCTACAGAGCATAATGCGACTAAAGCGGATGACATACATGTCAACCCACACGATTTACCCCGTATTCTTGTACAGGGAAATTTAATTTTCAGGTCCATACGGCGTACAGACGTTTCAAAACGGGCAAAAACACGTTTCGTCTATTTGTTTGTGTTTCTCACTTGTAGGATGAACGTTGAGATTTATAAGGACACGGGGTGACCAATACGGTCTGAATTGGTCTGTAAAAATATAGGCACTAAGGGGTTGACAGGTATGGGATGATATCGCCACTCATTCTGTTTCGCGTGGAACATGTTTAACTTTTTTTTAACATCGACTGTGCCGTGTCCCCCGTCCCCCCATTTAAAGGAGTTCACGCTACAGGGCTTCAGTGCAAAGGCACTCGTGTGTTGACAAGCTAAACATAATTAAGATCAGAGAGCTGCTCTGTCTGTGCGTGCGAGTGCCATGTGGAGCGTCTGAAATCTGACACTCAACGTACAGCGATACAGCGAGCGATGAACCACCGTAAGAAGTGACGACGCACTGGTATTGAGCGGCTCTTGTCAACCCGCCAGTTCAGGTGGGTGCACTCGGTTTACAGCACCGGCGGTGAAAAACAGGGCCTGTCCGTACCCAAAGTCTCGCACACAGCGTAATTACCACGTATTCCATTTACCCGTTTAACACTTGTTTGCTCAGGTTGTATTATTTCGCTGTGTTTGGAATGTAGGTTCAGGGTATAAGACGTGTGACGTTGGTATTTCCATTACGGGATACGAGGTTTGTTGTTGTGTGTGTGTGTGCGTGTGCACACATGCTGATGGTGTTTTCTAGGAAACAATACGTCTTGTGGACTTTGTTTGGGCTGATATGGTGGGGGGTAATGTTGATACCACCATGTCCACTGCCGTGACGTGGAGCGAAGGAGTTACTGTGTGACAGGCAGTAGTAAACCAATATACATCGTACCAGCGTCATGAGCGTCCTTCCTACATACATTGACTTAATTTATCAACTACACACAGTTGAATTCCTTTTTGTTTTAAAGGTTCAATTAGTTGAACAAAAAATTAATACAAGAGATACATTATTTAACTCTCCAGTCACCCCACAACTGTAATTTATTTATGAACAGTGCTCCACCCCTCTCTCTCTCTCGTCTTTCGTGTCATATAAAGGTGTTCCAAGGAATATCAAATTAAATGACAGTACTTGAAACGTATGAGAGTGGCCTGACAATAATGTCATCTGAGCGCTCTCAAAACAAATAACAAAGCTTCACACTCGTGCCTGACACCTCGAGACACGTAGCCACAATGTAAGAGCATGGATTTTTTTGGGGAGGTTGCATCTTCTTTCTCAAAACAAATAACAAAGCTTCACACTCGTGCCTGACATCTCGAGACACGTAGCCACAATGTAAGAGCATGGATTTTTTTGGGGAGGTTGCATCTTCTTTCTCAAAACAAATAACAAAGCTTCACACTCGTGCCTGACACCTCGAGACACGTAGCCACAATGTAAGAGCATGGATTTTTTTGGGGAGGTTGCATCTTCTTACAGGCTATCAGAAACATCACTCGCCTGGCATTCGTTCTATCCAATGTGAACCCAGGCGAATTGCTGCACTGCATATCTGCCCACGGCTCAAATTGGATGTTTTATGAATCGTCAACGTCTCATCTGCGTCAGCCAAGGAATCGGCTACCAAAGTAACGAGAAGAGCCTTTTTTTTCTTCCAATTCGGTCAGAAATAAAACCCGCCTCGATTTCAAGAGCCGCCGCAATGCATGTAAAATAGGAGACGGTGGGCTCCTTAATAAAGAACGGTCACGAAGCAGTCCTTGAAGAGCCCCATGTTGACGACTCCTGGCCGAAGCGATACGCGTTTTGTATTTATTAACGACGGACATTATGTCGCGGAACATTTTTTTTAAAAAGCATGTCACTCAAGTGTTATTATTATTATTATGAACTTTAGCCACAGTTGCGAAATCACACCGAAAAACTGCTGGCGGAGGTGGGGGGGTCCCCCAATCAGTCGTGACACGACAGCCGGCGTGCCCCAGGGCGCGGTCCGCTTACACAAGAACAAGTTTATGAGCAAGGGCCGCTATCCGCCGTGAGGCCAGTCAACAACACCATCTCTATTTGCGTCACACCGTCTGATACGATACAGAGATTTGGCACGCGTCACCAGTGCAGCGAAACCTGCGTCGGCCGTGCAGCGCGTAAGGGGCTATATTTTACAACCGTCCGGAGCAAGGTTATTGACATATAGTAGTAGTAGTGTGTTTCAGTTCGTATCTCCCTTCCATTGAGTCTTGGAGTGATGCCCGGGTTATGAAGGGGCATTAAACATCCCTGCTGTTGTGGGAGTTGGCTGAAATCCCGCTCAAGTGCACGCAACATTTAATTGGCCAAAGAGAACATTAGGGGAAGTGGATATTCATTATGCGTGCACATCTGCTTAAGAAAAAATGCTCATTTAGTAGTAAAATGTTAATCATGCAAGTGGTCAACAAACAAGTGGTGTCGATGTTAACATAAAAACGCTGTGTGGAAATTTGGTTTCCTCGATGTCTAAACAAACTAAGACACTTATTATTTTTTTAAACGCAGCAAATAAAACGCGGTTTTTAAACGCGAGAAGAAAAACTCAAAACATGTTTCCCAGGAACAAAAAAATCTGAGATTTATTTTATATTGACAAAAATACAAAAGAAACCGAGAATAAATGTCAGGAACGACAAAAACGACTAAACGTATTAGAACAGCCTACTCAAGCATCAATGTACAGCCATATTGCACCTACACAGACGCCTCTACATTTAAATAGTGCAGGAAGACACCAAGCTGTTTTAAACAGTCATGTTGCTACATTTTGCTGGATTCTTAATTTTTTTTCATTTCAAACAATTGAAAAAACGTAAATTGATCTTGTAGTGCAGCTGAACATATAAACAATATGTACAGGGAGTTTGTACAGTCGGTTGGTGCAGGTCTGTGACCTTTGCTGGCTCACAGATGTATTCCATATGTTCAACAACACCTGTTGTGTGCCTTTAAGCCCATTAGTGGATGCACCTTGCTATGTTTCTATTGAATGCATGGCTAATCGCTCTTAAACAGCAGTCGGCCACTGACAGGGGTGAACAACCGCCTCTTTTGAGCAGTACGCAAAGTAATTTGGTAAATGTTTAATTTCGTGTTTATGTTATTGAAGAAAAAAGTATATTAATCATATTCGGAATTTTTTTGCACATTGTAGCGAGATGTTATCTCCCTTCGCCTGCTATGCAGAAGGCCGATGGTTTGATCCTGACCCTGATGCCTGCACATTGTCCCCGTGGTCATATGGAATTTTCTCCGAGTCCTACAGTTTTGCCCTGAACATTTCGAAACATACGTTTGGATTATTTGTCTACAACTATACATTATATTTGCCACTTCGAAGAACTATGTGTAGTCAGGTTACCTCTGCAAAAGAGCTAGTAGCTCGGTGAGCTTTAACTGCTAAATAAAATAGTTTATCGAGGGTAAACCCTGTTGGTTGACTGAATGTATATAGGGGTGGTACGATAGCACATTGTGCTATGCACCCAGTGACCTGAGTGATTCTCGGCCAGCGACAAGTGATGTATGAACCAGTCTGTCCTGCACCCCTTCACCAACCTGCACTGACCAGCGAGGTGAAGTATGGTCTCACAACCATCATGACCGACACAGCTTGGGAAAGACCCTCAATCCCGCAACAGATTGATGGACTGAAAATGTACAGCACATTTGCCACATCCAAAAAGTGTTTTTTACACAATTTCATTTTTTACGTTATTTGGGCGTTTTGTAAGCACAAGTAAGTAATTTCATCACACTAAATAAGCATTTATTCACAGGCATGTTAAAAACTTTGGGTACTGTTCCAAAACGTTGGCGTTCTGCTGTGTAAAAGAAATGAGCACATGCAGAAATGCCAGTTAAGACCCTCGCCGTCACCGTGCGTGTCCGTTAGCACAATACCAGGCTTCACGTGGCAAGGCTAAATCATGGTTTTCGTGAGTAAATGCAAATGTTAAGCCTATAGGAAGAAAAATAGACTGCAGCTGTTATGGAAACATCCTATTTGCCTATATACAGTCAGGTGGCATATAGGCTTTCACAGTTCATGCACTCTGCCAAATGCAGATCAATTTGTTTTCCAGCCCTATCTGCACAGATGATGGATCACAACCAACCAATGCAGCTGTGTGCACTTTGTAAACTCAGTGGCTGTGGGGTGGATTATAGTGAGTGGATGGAATCAATGTTGAGGCTGTATGTACAACTTGCGCAATATACAATGCTGCACTTTACTTGAACTTTCTGAGCTTACTAAATTCCAGTAAAAGCAAAGGAAAAAAAAGTTAGACTGGGTCGATTACTGTGCGGTTGTAATTCCCTTAACATGCATCTTAGAGCAAGGAGTGCAAAAATTACAAATGGTCTGCAGAATGACAGCATTTTTTCTTCAGTCAATTATCTGTTTGTTTATAAACTCACACACACATAATAAAAAAATGTTTGAAATTTATAATTAAATGGACAAAATACACAAACAAAAGCAAACAAATTTTTTTTCATATCTACAATTTATGCCTTCTGCCATATCAGCAAAAAAAAGCAAAACGGGAAGAAAACTGAAAATTGCACAAAAACAAGCCTCAATGTTGGCTCAGGGTTGAGAGAAAGCAAACAAAATAAGAGAAAACGTACAAAATAAATATAATGGGAGAAGCTAAACTATATTTACAGTGCACCGATGCCTGGTTCTGGTCAATATGGCTTCAAGTGTTCTAAGGAATGATATTTAAGGCAGTCGTAAAAGTTAGCCGGGAATGTGACAGTGGTATGTTTTTTCTTCTAATTTCGCTCCTGAGTGCACACACACACATGGGACACGCTTGCACGTTGCTATCATTATTGATAAATGTGAGGTTGACGCCAACATCTACCACAGAATTTAGAGCACTCTTAACAATGATTTGTATGCCTGAGTCAAACTGACAAGAACACAATTCTGCAAAATCATCCAATCCTTGATTTTACACAATTAACATAATTGTTACATTGCAAGACTAATTATGCAAAACAAGCATTGTTTTTATCAAATTAAAAACACACACAAATATTACCAGGCCAATAAAGAAAAAAAACGTGGAGCAACCTTCCATTGCTTTGCATTGCCTGCCATTGGCTATTTTGCCTTTTTACCTAGTGATAATTCAAGACATTCTTAAATTCCAAAAACATATTTGTTTAAAGCTTTGCGTGGTTTAGCCTAGAGGTAAGGTATTAAAAAAAATCAAAAATACCACAGGTCAACAGGCACAATGCTAACAATGCTGTGGATCAGTGATGGTTACAGCAAAGGAATGCACTTTAATGGACGTTTTCTCTCTATCTCGTGGCCTTTGTTCAGTAAAGCAGAAATAACCAGAGATCAGAACACAAACTTGTCACACGGATTTCAGTTCCGTTCAAGTGCTTAGGCTCTTCAGAAACCTCGATAGTGCATGCACACCAGCCTTCAGTGGTTTGTAAATCTGAATATAAAGATAAGGTAATTTCATTCCTTTCTTGAAACTAATGGCTCTGTTCAGGTCTTATCTGTACATATACTTAACATTTTTAAAGGACCAGCCTCACTGCAATGATTAGTTCGACATTGAATGTTTCACGTTTTTGTTGTTGTTGTTGTTGTAAATGGTATATTGTGTTATCCACATGTTGCATTCACCGATGTTGTTTAATGTGCACTGATGTACACTCCGGTTTTCCTATGCTTGGAAAGTGTGACCATTAACCTCCTGAACTTGGCCTATGAGCTAGGCTGTGGTTGTCACAGATAAAGCACATATTGGCAGGCAGCAACGGCTGCAGTAGTTTCAAGTTTTCCATTCCAGTCTTGCTAGAAAGTCCAGCCGCGTCGCTTCTTGTGAATTTTCTCCGCAGCTCTTTGGGCTTTTGCAGTTCATTTTTTGCACCATCAGACTTCTCCATCAATAACCGGGAGGGAATGGGATTCTATACATTGGTCTGTGCTCTCCTAGAATCACACTTTGGGAAAGTGTATCTGATGACAATCCTAAGGCATAATGAATAATTCCTCCATTATCAAATAGGAATGCTTAAGTGTGGTAATATTCGCATATTTTGGAGAGAAAAAAAATCATTCTTGATTTAAGAAGAATGTCTAAAGTATTTGTCAAGCTACAAATGTACTTTGGTCCAAGAATTTTGGTCTCATGTTAAACATGCTCAAGCTATGCTTCCAGCAACTGTCAATAAAGTCTACCATAAGATACCAGACAGAGCTGGTATCCTAGGCTCCACACAGTTTGGCCAGAACACTTTATTGTCAACCAATTAATAATATGTTGCCCAGTGCTTGGATACTCGGCCCATATGGTCTCTTGTCCACGGGAGGACCATGCGAGAGTTCTGTTCACATTCAGTCATAGATTCCTGCGGTTGATGATGTAGAGTCCAAATCTGAGTAACCACACGGCTTCATCGTGAAGGAGTCGGCCATTCTGCCTGCCAAAGTTTCGCCTCTGCAGCTGCTGTGTAGAGAAGCACAGAGAAAACAAATATTAATTGTGACATGCATGCGGCAGTATAAATGGGTATACCACAGATAGTCAATCAGCAGGTCGTGTGCAGTGGGATAAAGTATGGGTACTTCCACCTCTTGCAAGACATCTGGACAATGTGAAATAGGAGGACAAAACACCCTCTAGAAGGGATCTCTAAAGCACCCTAAATTGGAGGCTTTTCCTGCAGCAGTGGTGTGAGCAAACAATTACAGGGCTGCATCTTGACCTTTTACATAAGTATTTTTGTTATGTAAAGCGTGTACATTACAATATTTTCTTTTATACACGTACATTCATTGTTCATTGGTACACTTGTATGAGAACCAAACAAGTGTTGTTTAGCATGCGACAGAAAAAAAAAGTGTGGCCTTCTAAAACTACTAACCGGTCTTCCTCTAACTGTTAAAACAATTAACATTAATCGAGCAGTAAGACCTACACCCACCCCCTGCTCAATATTTTGAGAGAGAAAAAAAGCGCTTCAATGCTGCACACAACCACTACTGCCCCCGTGAGCTTTGTACAAGCCAGCAATAACCACGTGTCCCTTGTTTTTCCCGTCTTTGACTAACTGGGCCAGCACACCTCGCCTTACCATGCACACTCCCCAAATCTGCTTCACTAATGCAACCCCGCCTTTCCCTTCCCCTCTTGCAGCCAGATGCACTGGCGGTCTGCCAGTGGCGATCCCCCAACCCCCTTTCGACTGCGCTAGACCAGCAGCAACATTCACCACCTCTTCTCCACTACCCTCCCCCCCAACTTATTTTTTTCTACCCCCACCCCAATTCCAAGCCTGCAGCCAAGCCTTGTTTTGATTCTTGGCCCGTCGTGTGGCAGATCTGCTGACTAAGGAGTGCAGCCCGCTCAGTGTGCGACTTCCCAGCCGCTGTTTTTATTGACTTAACTTGCTGGGCCGAGCGTGACTGGCGACAATAGAAACCAGCTGCCAAAAAAACCGCAGCTCCATTTCTCTAGCATGCACTCCTCCAATATGTCCCCCGCCCTCCACAAACCCCGGCTCCTCCAGCACCCACGACTAATCCGCTGCCATCCTGGATGCAACAGCAGAGAGAAATTATGGGCTGTGCGTGCGTGCACAATGCACTAACCGCGTGTGTAAAACCAGGAAAGTGTGCTTAATGCAACGTGCCAGCCACGTGCAAAAAGTACACACGAGCCAAAGCATGAGCGCAACACACAGCTCAGGGCCAATGCCATCTATTAGATTTGCTCTAAAATAGTAATGTTGCAGATAAAAAATACTACTGACATACATGGTAATGTCAACATTTTAGTTCACATTGCCATTAGCTGGGTTTAGGTTTGTTGACGTCGTCGTAAAATATTTTGCTGTCTCATTGTATGAGAATTAAAAGTGTTTGTAAAGTCATTCCAAGTTGTAAAGTACTTTACAAAATAGTCAAATAATTTCAAAGAGGGGAAAATGTGGAAGACATAAATTTGACTAGTACAATAAATCTGCAAATCTATTACTAAAATAAATACATATGCTTTTTTAAACAATTTTTGATATGCACGCAACCATTATGATTTGCCCATGTGCGGTGTCTTTTACATTTGTGATCGCAAATGTGCTGTTTATTTCTTAAATACAGTACTTCTCATTGTAAAAATGTATAGTTTACAAATGAAAAACAAATAGTACAGTAAACATAATGGCTATATATGATATTAAGCGCCACTTTTTACAGTGACACTTGAACAGTTATTGAAGCTCTCCAGGATCTCAAGTTCCAAAATCTCTAAAAAGCTGACAATGACAGTCGTATGGAAACATCTCGCACAGCGCCAGTGTGGTTTATTTTGGTTCTGCCCTGGAGGAAAGTGAGGCTTGGAGCCACCGCCAACTCAGCCCCACCACTTGGGATTAAGTGCCATGTTGACACTATCAGCATCCAGGCTGCTGTAAATCATGTACAATGCCTCTATAACCCCCAGTGAGCGGGACTCAGCAGTGTCTGTATTATCCTACTTTGTTATTTACTTTTGATGGCCATTCAGTATTAATTTCCTTTGAAATATGTCTTCAGACAATCCTCTACTTACGAACACAATTCATTCCCGAGACCCATTCGTAAGTAGGAACGCAATAATGTACTGTATTTAAATGGTGATCTATTATTTTTTCTACCTACGTCACTTTACCGAAAGAACCAAAGAGTATTATTTAAATGGTTATACGGTCAGTGTTATGAAATGTGTTACGGTTCAACAAAAAAGGGGAGCGTTGTTAAACTCAGAAATAAGAAGACATACCGTACATCTCCATGTAATAAATACTGTATAGTAAAACATAAAATAAAGTAACATGAATAGAAAATAATCAGTTTTATTAAAACAGGTCCCTGCAGGGTGGGCTGGTAGGAACATTGGAATTTTGCACAATTTTTTTTACACCCCAACAGCACGAGATTTCACTTCGTTAAAGTATTGAAAGGGGACGGACGGACGGACACATTAATCTATTGCAGGCTGGTACACTCAGTTTACAACTTCGTTCCTACCAGTATAACTAACAATGAGTCACTACAATCAGCCACACACAGACGTGTAAGCCATAGCCTTAACAGACTGTTGAGGCAAGTAATAAAACTGAGCAGCTCCAATGAAGGCCGGCACGACACACGAGGTGAGTCGGCAGCACCACGACCGGCCACTTCTGACTCTGCAGTGGCGATGTTTACACACTGCGTCAGGTGCTCATTTGAGGCTGAGTCGACCTAAGGGAGGCCCAGGACCCATTCAGACAATCGTCACTGGTGTTGATCGTGAGCTGGAGTCGAACTCGGGTCGCCTGGTTCGAAGCGCAGCGCACTAACCGCTACACTACCATTCTCCATACACTTAACACGCACACACACGCAAAAACTCTCACTCCCTGCGCGAGGCTGACTCATTACATCTCGCAGAGGATCGCTCCGCTGAACAAAATAGTTCCGTGGTTCGGTATGCAAGTGTGAGTTCACATTTCAAGTTAATGTAAAAAAATATATAATGGAAGCTGGTTTGTAAGTGTGGGTGTTCATAAATCGGGTGTTCGTAAGTGGACGACTTGCTTATTGGATTACAAGCGCTTTTGTTTACGTATGTATGTATGTACCTATCTTAAGAGTGTATATGTGTGGTGGGTTGTTAGCTGTGAACATTTGGCAATAATTAAAGGGAATACGAAGATCATAACAGTGTTCATTGTTTTTTAAGTGATTTCTGGTTTTACCCGCCAAGGTCATGGTGACCTACAAATGTTGGTCGTTTTCTGGAATCGTGCCTAATGTTCCCAAGGAAATATGATGCAATATATGGCTAACCGATCAAAAAGTACAACTATCTTTGCTACATTTTCAGACTTTTTTCCTTGATTGTGTTGTCAACAAAGGAATTAAATTTAGAAGTGCTTGAACTAAATGTAGTGAAAAAATCCACATTTCATCTGAGGTCACCATGCCAAAAATTACATCAATGGAATGGGAACAATACTTAGGAGCGATAACCACACAGGCTGTAACTAGGCTGTTGTTATTAAACAGAACAGAGTCAGAGATCCAGCTATTGCATCGATATGCAAGCCAAGCCACAGAATGGTGCAGTGGGCCCAAGGGAATTTGCAAATCTGGTTTGTGATGCCAACGTTGAACAAAAATGTAATTTTGAAGAACCAAAATGTTTTGGTATGACGGTGCGTGCTTATACGCTGTGATGCCACTCTGACCTGCTCATCCATCTGCCATTCCTGCATGTTGTAATAGCACTTTGGTGGCACACATGTATCAACCTGGCCAGGCAATTTCTCGAGGTCAGTCAATGTCTAAATGTCACTGTTGAAATATCATTACAATTTAAACTCGTACATAGAACCATGCCCAATGCCACCAAATATCCCTTTTCCCCATGATTACTTAATATGTTCAGTAATGCAACATTACATTTTTACATTTGACTACAGTATGCAATTTTCAGTGTTCCGTGAAACTGTAAGAAGTGCCCTCCCCTACTTTGGCAATTCAATGGATTGCCAGAATTCAGGGTTGCTAATTGATTCAAGAATTTGTTATACATTGCTATGAATATAGTGGCCACTTGCGGTAGCAGGGGGCATGTGAACCCAATGACGCAACATGTTCATTCATATAAAAGGGTCACTGCTAAACATGCAATATAATGCATGTATCATGAGTTGAAGAAGAGCTATTAATCGATGCATGAATGCATTGTTTCCACCTCGAGTGCTAACACATAGGAGGCAGTAATAACAGAGACAGCTGTACGTTACCTTCAAGCTACTGTTTCTAAATATAAAAAACCTGGCACACATCCAATTCGCTACGAACTAGGTTTCGAGCATCTGAAGTACTCTAGACTGCATTCCCGCTCGAAAACAAAGCCACGCTGCAGCTTCATCTACACGAGCGAGGCAAAAAGAGGCATCATGTGCTCCGTAAAACGATTGCCCGTATTTATTTCACACTTGATCAGCGGCAGACTATGAAAGTACTGTACGTTACTTTGTCGGGTTTGCAGTCACATACACAGCGCAAAAAAAAATGCCCTGAACAATAAAGCACGGGGGTTATGTAAGTGGTGTATTAAGATTGGTCTCCTGATGCATTTTGTCTAGGTAAACTGGTTTTATCGGTAAAAAAATGCCACCAGCACAGAATGAGTATTGTCTTATAGTTTAATTTACAGCTATTTGTCTTGAGGCCTCCCCCATGCCGTGCCAGTCACAGGGGAGGGAGGGGGGGATATGTTGTTTGACCATACTTCACCATGCTGGTTAAAAAGGCAGGGGAGGGGTGTGGGACCGGTTAGTGCTCTGCACTGCTCCCCCCCCCCCCAACTCTAAAATCTTAAAATTATATCTTTTTTTAAATTACAAAAGGATATCAAAATAATAGATAACAAATGGTGAAGTGGCAAATAGGTGTCGCAGTATTTAATTATATCTGTGCAGTAAAGTTCAAAGAGTCAGGTGTTCATGTGGAGCAAAGATAATGCAAGCAAAACATATAGTTGACTTTTATTGCATGACAGCTGACAGTACTACCCAAAAACCATAGTGCAGGGAGCATAATGTTCCACAGGGTATGGTAATTCTAGTCAAATAACCCATGAAGGGTTCTGTAATGCAAGCAAGCAAGTATATTAGTTACTAACACCTGTTAATGATTGAGGAATTTACATCAGTGCTGGTGGATTTCTGATAAAAGTTTGTAACAGGGTTATTCAATAACCACAGTTGAATATACGTCACTTCTAAATGGCAATATACCTGCACCTGGTTAAGTGCACTAAGCTAAGACCCGGGTGAATCGAATTTAATTCCAGCCAAGGCTAATATCCGTAGCAAGTGATATCTGAAATGGTCTTGGGTCTTCTCTTGGTCGACTCAGCTGAAAATTATTAGCTGGTGTTGTATGCAAATATTAGCACTTGGTAGATAATGGTGGCAGAAGATTTTGATGGTCACGCCACCCCCACATGCGGCGTTCCGGCCTACAAAGGTTTTCGCGGACATTTCTCATCTCTTCTAGATTTAAAGCTTTCGTGACTGCTAGGATCCATACTCTTTGGTTCTATTATTTTCACCTACGTGACTTTACCCAATAGAACCAAAGAGTATTTCTCATCTCCACAATCGTCATCATTATTCTCTGTTCCTTAACCGCAATGGGCTTGGGAGTGCTACTGATGCCTCGGCTGCCAATTATCTACACATTTCTCAGTTTCTCCAATTTGGTGGTGCAAACATGACATTTCTCAACAACCATGTGAAAGTTGCCCTCATAAGGTGCAGTCTAGATGCACAAACGTTAGGTTAATTCTTTAAAAAGGGGGGTTGCTTACTTGCCCGTCCACAAAGACGTTGAATTCGTCGCCGATGCGCCGTAGCTCCTGGCCGACGCGCTCCATGCGTGGGTTGATAGCCGACTCGGACAGGGACCGCTCGCGTGGGGGGATGACGTCGGGGATGGCCTCTCCGCCAAGGCTTGCCTCGGCCGGCTCCCAGTCGGAATCAGAATGCAGCGCTTGCCTTAAGCTGCCTAAAATAGAAACAAACACAAAGATCCCCCAATATAGTCAAACGGGATGTTTGGGAAGGTGCTGTTAGCGAACACCTACACAGGCCGGAACGCCACACGAGGGGGTGGCATGGCCAGCACATCGCCCCTGTCGCCTTTGTCTCCCCAGTGCTGATGTTTACACAAACACCAGCTTATAATGTATGACTGAGTCGGCCAAGAGGAGGCCCAGGACCGGTTCAGATATCACTCCCCACGGATATTATCCATGGCCAACATTAAACTTGGTGTTCTGGGTTCATAGCACTGTGCACTAAATCATTACACTAAGCGGTGGTGACATCACCACAGTGTTTGTGCCAGGCTAGATGCACTTTGAGGCCACGTGAAGTGTCGAAGGCTCACTGACAGGTCACAGGACAGACCCAGGTGCCATTTGTTGACTAAGATGACTAGCAGATTAACCACCTGTGCAAATCCTGATCACTACAAAAGACAAAGGTCACCCATATAGCATGAACAGTCTTTAGGAGCAAGTGCTGTTAGCGAGCACCTATGGTGGCCGCCACTGCAAACGAGGGGGTGGGTGGCCAGCACTATGCTCGGCCGCCTTTGTCTCCCTTGTGGCGATATTTACACACCGCACTAGGTAGTAATTTGAGGCTGAGTCGACCTAGGGGAGGCCCATGACCGGTTCAGATAATCGTTACTGGTGTTGGCCGTGACTGGGAATCGAACTCGGGTCGCCAGCTTCGTAGCACAACGAGCTAACCACTATACTACCACTCACCCCCCACATCACTACACCACACACATGCACCCCACACAGAATAATTTTACACCGTATGTTTATACAATGTATACAAAATGATTTTGTGCAACACAGGTTTTTAAAAATGGGCATTTCACCTAAAAGCAATACAACTCCATTTGTACACTTTGGTAATGCTTACCTAAAGTCTACACATTACATGCTAAAAAAAAAGAAAATGATGGATTGCCACCGCTCTAGTTGATTACACTGTGTACCCATTGAAGCCTATGCTGAACAATATACGATATTCAAAGGTTAGTTTCTTATGTTAATAATACACTAATTACTGAAATACAGTTGTATATACATGTACATACTGTATACTTTTGAACTAGATGATCCAACAGCTGTTCGTTGATTGACTTATAAACAGATATGTCGTAACAATATATATTTGAACAGTGACAAATCATCAGTCAATAAACCACAATTTCATATTAAAGTTGGCGATGTTGGCACCCACACTCAATTTTTACGTCGGCAGCTATTAAATTATACCTCCCCAAATTACAGCTGACTACATTTTTGGCTTTGTAATGGAAAGCGGCTTACAAACGTGGCCTTAATTAAACATGCTTAATTTGATGCGTTAAGTGCTGACCTACTTATCGACAATAATTGATTCTTGTTGATTGCTGTATGCACGCACAGGAGATGCATAAATACGCCTCCCTAATACAAGATGCGTATTTTGAACCTCTGGCCTGTATGCTGTACCTTCAAAGTTCTTTAACTATTTTATACAAAAGTAAAATAGGAATTTAATTAAGCACAAACGATCAATCGATGAATACTGATTACTAAACCGACGATAAACGCAGAGAATTACATAAAGCAAATATTTTGTATTGGGGTTCACACAACTCAGGCCAGCCATTGGAGGCTGCTACATTGATTGCAATTTTTTGAAGAAATGTATTTTTGAATCCAACCAGAGTTTAACGAATTGTTGCACTACTGAATTGAACTTCTGGATGTGACTCTATCCGCCTTACAAAATTACATTACAGCATCACATATAACAATAACAAGTCAAATAATCTGTGCATATTTCACAGGTAATACAGTAGTAATATCCATACCAGAGGTTTTTGGGTTCGATCGCGTAAATACAAATGTGTCGTTAAACCCACCACCACCCAACACAGCCAAATTAGTAAGTTGCATCATGACCAATAACTTGTTAAGCATTAACTTTATACCCCGGTGGTCAGTTTCCCTGCTCTCCTATTGCATTTATTTTCAACTGATCAAGCAAAAATAAAATGTTGCTCATTAAATCCTGTAAGGGGTAGCAGTAGTAGTTGTGTAGCAGTTAGCGCATTGTGCTATGAACACTTGACACTTGAGTTAAATTCCCAGCCATGGCTTACACAATTGTTAAGTAATATATAAACCAATATTACCTCCCTTCCTTCCCCCCTTTACCAAGCTGCACTGACTACGCTGGTTAATAATTTTGGTCAAACAACCCCCATTGGGGAGGACTAATCCAGCAGTGGAATGACAAAGGTCTGTAAAAAATTAAGCAAAATCACCACATACTTAAGGAGTAAACTGAAATTGTCCAACTTAACATTATTTATCTGCATACATGGGAAGTGTAATTTCCATTCCGTCTTTTTTCCTTTATTTACTTTCCTAAAATACACAGACCTATATCAGAGATCTTTATGGAAAATGAGACAACTGATCCTATTCCGGGTCTGTATTTTCATGCGACAGCATGAGGCAGTGAGGTCATAGTGCTCTCTCTAAAGTTTTCCATCGAGAGTTGGCTGTAAGCACAACAATGCACAAGGCCTGGAAAAGTCAACAGACAATATACAGTGTCACGGGATAAACAAAAGCGTGCAGTGTATTTCCAAAGGATGTAGTTTAGTATTAAATGAATAGCAATATTCATCGATAGCGCTAAAAGGTATTTAGTATGGCATTTATTCCCACTAAATAAAATGGTTTGTTATATTTTAGCTTAATTATTATGGATTCCCGAGTCGAGTTGCAAGTCTGACTTTGTTTTAAACCATTCCTCCCACTATTTGACCTTACAGATGACCCGATGTACCAAACAGTGCTGTAATGAGTAATACAGAAGACATTGCGCAATGTTTTGGACTCATGTTTACTGCAACTGGCTTAAGATCCCAGATGCAACCGTGAACAAAAAGCGTTAAAGAGTTCAGCGCCTCTGTTGCAACATTGTCCCCCACGCACCCAGATGCAGAATTAACTGCCACAAGGCCACACCTACTCGACACAATTACCCTGATCCACCATTTCAAGTCGTGACCGTCAGATTAAGACACGCCTTCCAAGAAGGGCAAGTTGTAACTTGCCCCGATGATACCTTTTGACAAAGCAATTAAATATGGTATACAATTAGGAATATAAAAAGAACAGTGGCAGTTAATTAAATATCTTATTTATACTACGTGTACAATTACGATTATCAACGATATTTCTCGGAATTCAAAACACACGAAAATGTGCTTTTTAAGGAGAGATGTGAAGTTCTATGGCAGTATCTCTTTATAACTACCAATACATGTTAACCATTAAGAAAAGTGGTCATGAAGAAGTAAAGTTTGCGCAAAGCACTGTCATATAGTAGAAATGTAAATATAGGTGGTGCAGTGCTGAGAACCCTGAGTCTTGAGCTGGGTTCAAGGCCACGGATAACATGAGTGGTTAATGATATCTGAATCAGTCCCTCTGCTCCTCTTCTCCACCAACCCACACTAACCGGCATGGTGTGGGGAGGCCTATATCCAGCAGTGGATTGAAAAATGGCTGGATATTGTTATTCAGTATTTGTATCGTACGTTATTGCCTAATTCATAATTCCATAAAACTAATATATAGGAAAGCACTATCTTTGAAAGAGCGAAAATAAATATTTGAGGTCATTTAATGTGAAACTGGTCAGGAAGTTCAGTTTTTAAAACTCAAGAGCAGAATCTCAAGTTGGTTGTCAACAAAGAACCAACTACAGTACTCACTCCAAATGCCCTTTTTTGACAAACACCATGGGTAGTAGCAATGCCGAGTGGCTAATCGAACATGTTCTGGAGCATAGTCGAAGTGTCAAGAGGCTGAAAGGGGTAATGGTCACTACCCTGGTTGTCTTATTTTCTTCTGAATAAACGAATGGGTGTAATGAATAGGACTCCCCCTGACTTACCCAGCAAGTAATGACCATCCCACATGCTGGTTCTTGGCCCCAAAAAGCAGCTGTGCTCTACGGCGGGAGGAGAGGGGCAGTGATGACATTTTGTTTGGGTATGCGAAACACTAAGGGCTGTATTGTTTTTTTGGTCACTGTGTTGGTAAAACGGTGGGGCATTGTTTATCTCACTGCACTCTCACTGCACTCGATGACCTCGGTTCGATTCACAGCCACGGATAATATCAGTGGAGATTGATATCCGATGTGGTCCTCGGCTCCAACTAACCAGCACTGTTGGTGTCCGATCAAACAACTGTAGGCGTGGCGTGGGAAGGACTTCATCCAGCAGTGGATTGACAGAGGGCTGTGAATTTGTTGGGAATGTGTTGACTATATTAAATGCTGAAATAAAAATGGTAAACAAGATAGAATGGCATTAGCAGATGTTTTTTTTTCAATGGCATACAATAACAATTCAACACTCTTTCCCAGACTACAAGTGTAAGACACGTAAACACAAAAGTGTTAAAACACAGTACCTTTATCGGTTTGCAACTGCGAATAATGTTCTGTGCAGTAAGCTATCCACTAATTTACATTACTAGTTTAAACTGATGCATTCGTGGGTATTTAGTTTCGGAAGGATCAACGTGTTTTCCAAGGCGTTTGGTTTATTTGGGTGTATAATTGTGAAGGACAGCCGAGAGACTTGTGTTTTGAACACCAGAGTAGTTCGTGACACCATATACAGTCGTTTATCGTGCGTCTATGGCAACGCAGCTCAGGCTTAAAGCAAATCCTCACCGCAGCTTCCTGGAGAGAAAAAAAACTTGCAATGATGCTGGCCTTCTGTACTGTACACGACAATAGTGGCTGCACTTAACTTACCAGTTTTCAAAAAGTTATCTACTTGTTAATTATCTATTTTGAAAATGTATCAACGCCTTAAACGATACCTGTCAGGTCGTTCACTCTTCACTTTATTTTTTTTTAAATGAGACACACCAAAGCCATTTTCAACCAAACATATATATAGAAACGCCTCACTCAGCATGATGCAACTCATTAAAATATTTAATCATAACGTTTACATTGCCTGCACCCACGGTTGCGGGCAATGCCACCGTACGTAGCCAACCGATTCGCACGATTGGCTACGTACGGTGTGACAGAAGTTATGTATAGTGTAAAAAAACATCTACATGTACCTTACATGCCAAGACTGGGTAACAGGCTACTTGAGTCCAGCAGCACGTTCTTAAATAACGAGACACAATTCCAGGCACCCATTTTAGCTCGTATAGCTAGATCCATCCTCATGAGAGGCACTGCTTCTCCAATGCTGCCCTCACAGCCTCGAAATGTCGTTACCTCCTTGTACGGAAAGCTCCACACTTTAGGCTCAATTTAAACTCTTTAACCTTGGAACATGACTCGACAAACGTTAACTCTATATACACGTGAACACACGATGCCCTCGTGTACACAATCTACAAGAAACAATGTTTACTGCTTCCCTTAACTCTAATTATATTTTCCTGACCAACAAGCCATATTCAACTCTAGCCCTAAATAACAGTACTCTATCTTGTACTGAGTTTTGAAATGCATACGCAAATTATGATAAAAATAATACTTTGTAGGCATAGTGAGCGATCAAAGTATGAATATTACTGGACTTTCGATACAGGAGAAACGATTTCAAACTACAGTGATACAATAGTGTGCTTCCTCGGCTCTGGGATTAACAGGGCTGATGTACAGTGAGGGGAAAAAAGTATTTGATCCCCTGCTGATTTTGTACGTTTGCCCACTTACAAAGAAAGGATCAGTCTATAATTTTAATGGTAGGTTTATTTGAATAGTGAGAGACAGAATAACAACAAAATCCAGAAAAACGCATGTCAAAAATGTTATAAATTGATTTGCATTTTAATGAGGGAAATAAGTCTTTGACCCCTCTGCAAAACATGGCTTAGTACTTGGTGGCAAACCCCTTGTTGGCAATCACAGAGGTCAGACGTTTCTTGTAGTTGGCCACCAGGTTTGCACACATCTCAGGAGGGATTTTTTACCCACTCCTCTTTGTAGATCTTCTACAAGTCATTAAGGTTTCGAAGCTGACGTTTGGCAACTCGAACCTTCAGCTCCTTCCACATATTTTCTATGGGATTAAGGTCTGGAGACTGGCTAGGTCACTCCAGGACCTTAATGTGCTTCTTGAGCCACTCCTTTGTTGCCTTGGCCGTGTGTTTTGGGTCATTGTCATGCTGGAATACCCATCCACGACCCATTTTAAATGCCCTGGCTGAGGGAAGGAGGTTCTCACCCAAGATTTGACGGTACATGGCCCCGTCCATCGTCCCTTTGATGCGGTGAAGTTGTCCTGTCCCCTTAGCAGAAAAACACTCCCAAAGCATAATGTTTCCACCTCCATGTTTGACGGTGGGGATGGTGTTCTTGGGGTCATAGGTAGCATTCCTCCTCCAAACACGGCGAGTTGAGTTGATGCCAAAGAGCTCCATTTTGGTCTCATCTGACCACAACACTTTCACCCAGTTGTCCTCTGAATCATTCAGATGTTCATTGGCAAACTTCAGACGGGCACGTATATGTGCTTTCTTGAGCAGGGGGACCTTGTGGGCGCTGCAGGATTTCAGTCCTTCACGGCGTAGTGTGTTACCAATTGTTTTCTTGGTGACTATGGTCCCAGCTGCCTTGAGATAATTGACAAGATCCTCCCGTGTAGTTCTGGGCTGATTCCTCATCGTCCTCATGATCATTGCAACTCCACGAGGTGAGATCTTGCATGGAGCCCCAGGCCAAGAAAGATTTACAGTTATTTTGTGTTTCTTCCATTTGCGAATAATCGCACCAACTGTTGTCACCTTCTCACCAAGCTGTTTGGCAATGGTCTTGTAGCCCATTCCAGCCTTGTGTAGGTCTACAATCTTGTCCCTGACATCCTTGGAGAGCTCTTTCGTCTTGGCCATGGTGGAGAGTTTGGAATCTGATTGATTGATTACTTCTGTGGACAGGTGCCTTTTATACAGGTAACAAGCTGAGATTAAGATCACTCCCTTTAAGAGTGTGCTCCTAATCTCAGCTCGTTACCTGTATAAAAGACATCTGGGAGCCAGAAATCTTTCTGATTGAGAGGGGGTCAAATACTTATTTCCCTCATTAAAATGCAAATCAATTTATAACATTTTTGACATGCGTTTTTCTGGATTTTGTTGTTGTTATTCTCTCTCACTGTTCAAATAAACCTACCATTAAAATTATAGACTGATCATTTCTTTGTCAGTGGGCAAACGTACAAAATCAGCAGGGGATCAAATACTTTTTTCCCTCGCTGTATAGACGAGGCAATGCACACTTTATGTGTAGTCACGGAATTGTAAACACTGAACACACACGGCATGCGGCTTTGCTGATGGTAGTTTACACGTGTGCACGTGTACGCGTCACGTTAGTGCCGCACACGTGCCAGGTGAGACTCCACAGTGCATCTCACACAAGCCAGGTAAGGTCAGCCACAACACGGATGTCAGATGTGACAAGTTAGACCTTCTCCATGGGTTCTCCAAATGCAGCAGCAGTAAACTTCACCGTTTAAGGTTATATTCGAGTTGGCTTGCTTCTTATTCAGTGTACAGTAATTTACCAAGAGAGCCAAATAACGTTGTTTTTTTCTGTTTGGTTTTGTGGGTAATGAACAGATCCACAGCTGTGCATAGTCGCAACAGTCTAGCACTTTGGGTTATATGCACTGAAAAATAATGCTCCGAATATGCCACCACTTTTGTTATTTATCAAAAATGACCACCAGAATGGCAACGTGATAGAAAGTTATCTGATGGAAGTAATACACCATCTGTCTATTCGAATAAGTTGGACCAAATAAGATGAATTCACATTAAAGTCAGGAAAGCCATGTATTTTTCACTGGTCATTGGTACCCACACATATGCCCCTAAGAGGTTGGCTGCAATTATGGCGATACTATTACATTTGCTGAGGGCGGGCCCGTCAGCATAGCGACACTAAAGTCACGGTCTCTTAAGTCCAACGTCCCAATTTCTCAATTGGAGCCCTGGTGTCTGGACATTATCTTGAGTCGATCTTCAGCAGTCAACAACACTACCCAGACAAATCGCTACCATCAATCAGACCCATCACCACCACCAGTACTACAATCGCCCAGACCAATGAACACCACTACCATCACCATATTTACCCAAACCCATCGTTTACTACAACCATCATCATCCACGAACACCACACTTGATAAGCCTCTCTGGAGCATTGGGGTAGAGATGTGGCGATGCAACATGCGAATCCACAGGTGATGTGTACAAAAACACCACGCAGTGGTTCCTGTATGTATGACATGACACGAATGTGTCTTGCCGCAAACAAACAATTCGTGTTGCCTTTGGCAGACTGTTGGGGCAAGTGCTGTTAGCGACCACCTATTAAGGTTGGGATCCGCACACAAGGCCAGCACCACCGCCGGTCGTCTTTGTCTAACAAATGCTGATGTTTACACACCCGTAACCAGATACTCATTTAAGGCCGAGTCGATATAGGGGGTTGGCCTAGACCCTGTTTCGAGAGTCAATGATGTTGGCTGTGAGATGAAATCGAGTTCGCCGGGTTAGTAGCAGTGTCCTAACCACTGCACACGACACCAAGTAACCGGCAATCACCACGAAGTGGCAGTGGATGCCACCACGGTGCTTGTGCCAGGCTAGGTCCACTTTGAAGTCACTTGAAGCGTATAAAGGACGTATACACCCACACATAGAAGACAAAGACACGCACAAGGTCCCCCCGTTCCCATGCAGTATTTCATATACGTCAAGGCGGTGTAAAGTGCTGTCGAGCGGAAACGGCGCACGTGGGGAAAGCTGCAGACAGAACCACGCCCGGCCACCTTTGTCTCTCCAGTGCTGATGCGTTTACACACCGCTCATTGAAAACAGAGTCGACCCACAGGAGATCCAAAACCGTTTCAGATATTCGCCACTGATGCAAGCCGTAGCCGGTATTTTAACTCGGATTTCTGCTTGCTGGGTCCATAGCGAACGTGTAATGCTCTATCCACGGCACTACCTTGACACTTTTGTTATAAGCACCCCCATACACAGATGTGTACACGTACAGACCTTTCACAATCCACCGCTGGATGGAAGTCCCTTATACCACGCCGTGTGGATCGTGGGCATAATTTTGCGGTGCACCAGCTGGTTTGTTTAGAGCATCGACATTGGGGAGTATTCTAAAGCACAATGGACTTTGCTGTACTGCCCTCTGCCGATAATGTAACAGCCTCGCACACAGACATACAAACTCGTACCTCCAACAAACACCGAATCCCCAAATGATACATAGACCTCTCACCCAACACGCACACACACGCAGACCCCCTAACCAAAAAGTTATGTTCGCGAGCACCCTAATGAAGGTCACACAAATCGCATAATGATACCATCCACAAAGATCCCCTGGACTCTTAACAGCCTTTTTAACAGACTGTGTTGGGGCGAGTGCTGTTAGCGAGTAGCATCTCTGCGAAGGGGGGTCCGGTGGCCAGCAACCACGCCCGGCCGCCTTTGTCTCCCCCCACTCGTTTAGGGTTGAGTTGGACTCTCGGGGAATCCCCGCGACCGGTTCAGATCACCGGAGTTGGCTGTGCGCAGCCACGAACCCAGGTCACCGGGTAGCCCGGGGGTTCGTCACGCAGTGCGCTAACCATTGCACCACAGCTCCCCCACGCCGACCGACAGCACCACGAGCAACCACCAGCAGCACACACCGTGACCCTCCCACACCACACCACTCACCGGGTGCTGTAGCCGAGTGCTGCGGTTGCCTCCGTCTCTCTGCTGCTGCTGCTGCGGGCTGCAGCTCCCCCCCGGTCTGCGTGCACTTATCACAGCCGCGGGGTCGCGGGGGGCTGCCGCCGCTGCCGCCGCCGCTGCCGCCGGGCCCGGCCACAGCCACCCCGACCCCGACGAAGCCGGCCACTGCCCCCCCCGCTCCCTCACACGACCTGTCGAAGGAGAACACCTCCACGGCGCACCTCAGCGGCGACGACGAAGACGACGAAGTGGACGAGTATGAGGACGACGACGGGAAGGAGGAGTAGGAATAGGGCGAGGATGAGAGCAAGTACCCGCCGGGGCTCGACGGCGGGGAGCCGATGAGCCACTGGGCCGGGCTGGACGGCGGTGTCCATTGCGAGTAAGGGGGCCTGCGGGGACTGAGCACGGGACGGAGGAAGGGGAAGAGCGGCGAGCGGGCGGCCAAAGTGGCCGCGCCGGGAGACGGCGGCGGCAGAAGGACCCCGACCCCGCCGCCGCCACCGCCGCCGTTGTTGTTGCCGCTGCTGTTGGTGCTGAAGCTGTTGTTGTTGTCGCCGCCGCTGTTGTTGTTGTTGATGGACGCGGGGATTGAGATGGGGATGGGTATGGGTTGAGACGGTGGCGCTTGCTGCTGCTGCTGCTGCCTGTCGGCTCCTCGGGGGCTCGCCGCCCCGGGTGGGATGGCCATGGCGAGCCGCCGCTGCTCCTCCTGCGCGCCGCGACAGAGTTTTGTTTTTTTACAGGAGGCGAAATTGCGTTAATTAAAAACAAAACAAAAAAACACGGGAGTAAAACGTCTTCTTCTAAAAAGTAAAACCGAGTTGTCTTCTTTCGTCATCCGCTATCATTAACCATTGTCGCCGTCCTTGCAATAGCGCTCTGTGATGTGGGGCATTGTCAGGTGGAGCAACCGGTCTGCTTGGCTAGCGGGCGCCTATCGCGAGTGGTGGTGCCGGGCTTCGGTGTGACCATGGCGAGTGGCCGCTGCTGCTGCTACTACTTCATGTTGTTGTTGTTGTGAGCTGTAGGCGGCAAGCCGCGGTAACAGAGTCTTGGGTGAGGGCGGGCTGACTCGGGGGCTGCACGCCAGCTCCCAGCGTCATGAGCCACACACGCCCTGGCCGGTAGCCAAACCCAACCCCTCCGCCTCCTCCTCCACTCGCACCACCTCCCCCCCCCCAAACTCCCTCCTCCAGCAGCCGAACTCCAAACCCTGCAGCCCCCCCTCGCTCCCCTCTGCCCCCAACCCTCCCCAGGGTCGCAGCTCTCCAGCCCTCGATCCTCTCGGAAACCAGCCACCCAACACCAAGCCCCCTTAGGCTCGCAGTCCCAGATCCCCAGCCCTCGAGACTCTCAGTTCCAGCCTAAACCCTAAACTCCAAGACACCCCAGCTTTCCGGACCCAAATCCCAAGACCTACACCCCCGAGGCCCCCCTCAGTCCCCAAGTACCAGCTCCGGATCCTCTCTCCCAGCAGTAGACTTTAAAAGACCTCCGAACCCCCCACAGACAGACGTTGGGGGGGTTGGGGGGGGTCCCGGCAAGCGGCCGTCATCCACGTGCGAGAACCGCACGTGGCCACGTGCGCGCGGGGGGGGGGGGGCAACGGCGGTCAGTCGGTTCAGTGACAAATCGCTGCGTGTTAAAACTAAACCTTTTTAGGTATTTTTTTAAATTTACCAGGATAAGGCCGACTGAGCTGTATCGCCGGGGTTTTTTTTGTTTGTTTGTTTTTTTTCGAAGCAAACTGGCCACAAGTGATAGCCCAACGAAAGTGGCTTATCATGTGGAAATGTATAGCAGCCGAATGCTGCTAATCAGTAACCGGCCACTAAACGTGCACTTGCCTTAAATGAGAGACCAAGTGCAATCTTACAACTCAAATTGCGTTGTGCAACCGGCTACAAGTTTTATTTTTATCCCAATATGTTAATATAGATTACGGTATTAATTACCTGCATGGTTTTTATGTGGATCGTACAAAACAATCCAAAGTCTCTTCTTCTTCTTCCGACTTAGAACATTGCGCCCAAACGCCGTACAAAAAAATGCATTAACAAAATAACAGCAAAGGATTGTACATGCAAAGTATGCACTCTGCAGTAACCCTGCAATATTTGAAACGAGCTTCTGTGTCCGTCCCGCTAGCTGGAGATGATGACAACGATCGGTGTGACGGTCTGATCTAGAGTGACTCTTAGACGTGGCTGTCATCGAGTGTCGTGGGGTTAAAGAAAGATAGGAGGGCGAGGGAAACTTTTGTCAGTGGGAATTTCCCGGGAGCCGGGCAGGTATGGGCACGCCAGCCACAGACTTCCTCCACTCGCTTGCTACCCCCCCCCCTCTCCACCAACCCGGACCCGTCGACCCACCCCACCACCCCAACCCCCTCTGTCCTTTCCTCTACACTTCTAAATAAACAAAACGAGCTCCCATAAGTCCACACTTAAGTACAGCAGTCATAACACTAACAAACATTTAAGGACGTGTAGCGCGGTTTACAGAATTGCTGTGTGCAGCTTGGATGTGCTTACACTCTTAACAAGCTGGCAGTCCAGTCCATTTAGTGAGCCTACTTTTTTGCAGGAAGATAATTATGTAATTCTTGCCCCCACAAAAACAAGCGTATATACATATATCTATGTGGTACTTTTGATAGAAGATTTAGTAAATGTCACGTCACCAACGAGGTTCCTCGGGTTTTTTTTTTTACAAAGCCGTCGGCTGTGTGGTTTCGTCATTTGACTTTAAACGTCATTTTAGAGTCGTTGAACTACTGACGTTGTTTGGGCGAAGTCTTAAAAAAACTAACTTTGGATTGGTGTGACAGCTCACGAGACGTCAGTGTGTGTGTGTGTTCAGTCACTTGACGCTATCACCACTACGACTGTGATTGGTTTATTGAGGGAAACGTTTCGTAAAAACCCGAGCGGACGGTGACGTTTATTGTACCGATGTCGCACGCACAAAATCCCTAAGCATATAGAGAACGAATCGGTAAGCACACAGCCTTGCCCTTCCACTTTGACATTTACGAGATGTATTTAGTAACTGAAAGACAAAAACAAGTACGAGGTTGTTTACAGACTTGCTGCAACATGTCAATGTTCACGGTTCTATGCAACTGAAACAGTGTTTAACACTTACTGTAATTGGAACACGTTAACTCGTAATCTTGCAATGTATTGTACAACAAAGGGCTTTCAGAAGGATCCCCCCCCCCACTGCGCGTGCGGGCGGGGGGGGTCTCAAGTCGTTTGTTTATATGATCGACCTTATTCGGACGTGGGGGAGCAGGGATGGGATGGGTAGGGCAAGGCTGGGCAGGCACGGTGATGTCCGCAGGCTCGGTTCTGCTGGGTGTTGTTTCGTGCTGCCCAGGAGTTGGGTGCTGCTCGGAGGCATGATGGATTCTGCCAGAAGGATGGGAGATAGCCGGTAGGCTGGCTACTCTACCGCCTGGGTGCTGTTGGGATCTTACACGAGCTGGATAATGCTCAGAGGCTGCTTGATGCTGGATGCTATCTACCAAGCTGGGTGCTGCGTAAAGACTGGTTGCCGCTGCGAGCTATTGAGTGGTGGAAAGAGGCTGGGTGCTGTGCATAAGCTGGATATTGCCCAAAGGCTGCGTGCTATTTACCAAGTTCGGTGCTGCTCAAAGACTTTGTCCGGGTATTACTAGGTGCTTTTGAGTAGTAGCAAGAGGCTAGGTGCTATTGAATGGTGGCAATAATCTGGGTGCTCTAGACAAGCTGGGTATGTACTGCCCAGAGGCCTGGGTGGTGCAAGGTGCTATCAAATTGGGTGCTGCTGGAAGCTATTGCGTGGTGGCAGGGAGGCTGGAAGCTGTCCATAAAATAGGGTTGCTGCTGGGAGCTATTTAGTGCTGCTCAGAGGCTGGAGGGTGCTGCCCAGTGGCTGGAGGGTGCTGCCCAGAGGCTGGGGGGGGGGGGGGGGGGTTGCTGCCCAGAGGCTGGGGGGGGGGGGGGTGCTGCCCAGTGGCTGGAGGGTGCTGCCCAGAGGCTGGGGGGTGCTGCCCAGTGGCTGGGGGGTGCTGCCCAGAGGCGGGGGGGGGCGGTGCTGCCCAAAGGCGGGGGGGGGGCGGTACTGCCCAAAGGCGGGGGGGGCGGTGCTGCCCAAAGGCGGGGGGGGGGGCGGTGCTGCCCAAAGGCGGGGGGGGGGTGCTGCCCATTGGCGGGGGGGGGGGGGGTGCTCCCCATTGGCTGGGGGGGGGCTGCCCATTGGCTGGGGGGGCGCTGCCCATTGACTGGGGGGGGCGCTGCCCATTGACTGGGGGGGGGCGCTGCCCATTGGCTGGGGGGGGGGGGCGCTGCCCATTGGCTGGGGGGGGGCGCTGCCCATTGGCTGGGGGGTGGGCGGTGCTGCCCATTGGCTGGGGGGGTGCGCTGCCCAAAGGCGGGGGGGGGTGCTGCCCAGAGGCTGGGGGGGGGGGGTGCTGCCCAGAGGCTGGGGGGGGGGGGTGCTGCCCAGAGGCCGGGGGGGGTGCTGCCCAGAGGCTAGAGGGGGGGGGGGGGTGCTGCCCAGAGGCTGGGGGGGGGGGTGCTGCCCAGAGGCCGGGGGGGGGGGGTGCTGCCCAGAGGCTGGAGGGTGCTGCCCAGAGGCTGGGGGGGGGTGCTGTCCACAAACTCGGTGCTTGTCAGGAGGCTTGGTGATATCAACTGGGCGCCTCCACGCGTACGGCCGCAGCTCTGTTTTTGGTGAGTGCGGGGCCGTTCGCGCGCCCACCCGCCGCCGTTGTCGCCTTCCAATCAGCGGCACCGCCCATCCCTGGCGCAGCCACGTCACGAGCGCCGTCCAATTGGAAGGTCCGCCTCGGGTGAGATTCGGCCAATCGCTGCGGCCGGGCGCTCGGGCTTGAATTTGGCGCGCGCTCGTGACGGGTAGGGGGCGGGCTCGCCGAGCCACGTGCGTGCGGAGGAGGGGGACGTGCCGGGGCACGTGCCACGTGGTGGCGGGGGGGGTGCACCACGCCGGGCGGGTTTGTTGTTGAAGTTGTGCGTTGGAGGGGATTTTTTGTGGGGTTGGTCGGTAAATCGATTCATCGTTCACCCCGTTCCGTGATATTTTACATCGAGTGCCGTCTGGGCCCCCCGAGTGGAAACTGTTGTTCCTTTTACGGGGGAAGTACCAAACGATCATTGTTTTTGGCACTGGGTAGAAAAAAAAAACTACAATTGCAGAAAAGAGATTTTCAACAACCGTTTGCTTGTTTTGTGCTTTAAAAAATATATTTAAACTACGGCCTTGCGTGGGTTTGTCTCTATGGTCATATGTGATTCGTTGCCATTATGTAAGAAACCCGCAAGTTTCAGCGTGGACTGTACCTTGTAAAAAAAAAGTAGGCAACAGCGTTTGTTATCACTTCCTTTCCGTGGAAATGCTCAGAAATGTAACCTTACCCGCGCACAGACAGGTCTAGCTACTTCCGACGATAGAGCACAGAATGTACTACTGGTTTAAATAAATTTACAAGTTACATAAATGTCTTAACTCAGCATTGTCCACGTCATTACACTGGCTTTATGCGAACGAGCGAGCGGTGGGGCAACGGTCAGCGCCACTGCTTTGTGAACTTTATTGGTTGAGTTCGATTCCCAAGCACGGCTACAAACAGTGGCGAGCGATAACTAAATCGCCCCCTGTGTCCACCCTCTCTTTCACCAACCCGAATTGACCAGTGTGGTGAATATGGAAGAAGAGCAGAGTTTCTATATTTAATAGTGGTTTGTGAATCTACGTTTTATGCCATTGCTATCACAACTCGGGGGAGTAGTTTGGCACAGCGCTGTAAAATTAGTGCGAGCTACTCATTAACATGAACGAGTTTAATTGAAACATTGTTTTAATAACGGAACGTTATTAAACTTACATACGGAAAACTCAATAGGGCATTTAAACATTACATTTGTTCCGTGAAAGAGCTTTCTTTGTTCAACTAAACTGCCTGTGGAGAGACGATAAACAAAGGAATGTCTGCTGCAAGTCTGGCTGACACGAGAGTGTCTCACTGGGAAACTAAAACCGCAGCATGCAATGGGAACAGTGAGCACTGGTTTACCAGCAACATAATACAGTATGGACATACATATATGTTAACCAGAACCGCTGCTTCCAGAACTACTTTTCAGTAAACCTCATGCATATGTCGTTTTGCACAGTAAGAGTGTGTTGTTTTAGATCTTGTATTTCCCTAGGACTTGGACACACCCGTAACGTTTGTTTCTGGTGGTGAAAACACAATTCCATTGTTTATTCTGCGTGCTTTTTTGTGAACGCGATGGAATTTTCTGCACAGCATATTGATTTTAAAGCCCCTCGTCGAACGGTCACTCATTTGTTGGCGCGCACTGCACTATGAAGCCCTTACAGCAGCAACTACCTAACATCGGGCGGTTGACGTGGCCTTATATCGTGGCGTTCGCGGTTCAAACTCCAGCGGCCGCCCTGATTAATATTGCAGGCTCATTACACCAACAACAAAAACACGTGCCGTCCGCCATTGTGTGGCAGAGTCACGGTACCATTTTATCAAGTGAAAAAAATATACACAAATTGCTCAATTGGGATAATACATTTGTTGCTGCTTAACCATGAGATTAAGCAGCAACAAATAATAAACCTCAGTGACGAGTGATATCTGAACCGGTCCTGCCACCCTGCAAACCCGCACTGACCAGGGTGGTGGAGTATGGTCAACCCCTATTATAGACCACGGCATGGAGTGGCAGTGGGTCGATTATGGTTGATGATTATCACTTTAGCATACCCATTAGATTACATTTGAGTCAAACGTATCATTCATAATTCCTGAATACATGTCATTATAAGTTTGCTCTTGGGAGCCTGCTCTCATTAAAAGACGCCTGAGTTTGCATACACAGACAGTACAACAGTCCCCTCTTCTTACATATAAACGTAATTTTTTTCGATTTAAAGCTTTCGTGACTGCAAGGATTCATTTTCTTTGGTGCTTTCGGTAAAGTCACGTAGAATGAGAATAAAATAAAATAAGACAATAAAATTATTACGACGTTTCGGCCACAACACAAGCAGCCTTCATCAGGTGAAAGAACAGAACTGTCGGGACGACAGTGCTCCTGTCTGTCTGTCTCGCTGTCTGCGTACGCATATCCTTATAACGCTTTTAACTGGCAAACTGTTGGGTTTACGTTACAACAAAGTACACAGACACAACACACTAAGCCCCCGGACGACCGCTTGCTTTGTGTTTTTGCCCTTGGTCCAGTCTAAACGAAGAAAATCACACTTTGTAACAACGT